GTGTATTTAGAGCCGATCCTGCGCAACGGCAACCAAGGAGATCTCGAGAAATGTTGGGGTGCGTCACTGACAATCGGTGTCTTTGACTATCTCGAGACCACACAGTACGGTCAGATGTGGCAGCAGTCACTCCGCCGCCCTCCGCTCTCGATTGCCGACGAAACCATCTACTGGCAAACGCACGGTCTCCGCTTCTACGAGACCCAGTGGCAAAACTACAAGTCGCTCGGCGTCATCGAAACGTACTCGGTGGCCAACGCGCTGGGCTTTGCGTATCCTCTCACAATCAAGTCGTCCAACGGGTCGCTGCACACGACGCAGCAGACGTCGTTCAAGATGCAATGGCCGCTCGCGAGTCTGCTCTGGGCAATCACAGGCAACAGCAGTGGTCTTTCTGGGAGCAGTCTAGTGCGTCAGAGCCCTCGATTTGCGTTTGCCAATCGAACGATCGCGTCGGTCTTGGCCAGAAACGGGTCCCTGACTTACCCACTGGACATCGCCTTTGACATCGTCGAGCGTACGCTTGGCCCCTTCGGTACTATCTCGATGCGCCGCGTGGCGTATCCGGACGTGCTCGTCAACTGGAGTCGGTCGCTCACAGCCCGTTTCAGCGCCGATATGGTGCTCGCAAGCGCTGCCGCCATAGCGGCATACGAAGCGTTCCCAGGCGACGTCACGCTGCCTGTCTGGCCCAGCGCATGGGCGTACGAGACGTTTGTCGGCGGCGACTTCATGTGCCCGACGCAGTCCAATATGACGTCCATGTGCATGCTCTATTCGATGCAAGGCGCGTGCTCGGTCAACATGCAAGACGTCGTGAGCATCGACCTCAGTGCAAGCAGTCTCGCGCTCTTGGCGGTCGGTCCCGACGTGAACATCACGCGCACGTGCGACGGTGCTGCCCAGCAAGAGACCGCGACGTGCCTCATGCTTCTCGGTGCCACGACTGCCTTTTTGAACGAGCGGTATACACAGCAGCAACGCATCGAAATGGCGACAGCGTCGACGGCCGTGTCGACCTACTTTGCAAAGGAGCTACCACTCGTGCTGCTTCAGTTCCTTCGCCAACCCAACCAAACGGTTCTCCTCGCGCAGTCGTTGCTCTTGGACCCGAACGACGTTGGGTTTCATGTGTTTGGGTATCTCTACCTCCTCGAGTGGCTCAACGGCGTGCGGGAAGTCGTTGCTTTTGACGGCGTACTTGGCAATATCACAGCGCTCTCGGGGCGCAATGCTGTGCACAAGGGACCCGTCAATCCGCTCGAAGTTCCAGTCAACGTTGCCTACTACGCCCGCTGCGTGCTCCTCTACGTCTCGGGCGTTCTCTTTATCGTCACGGCGACGGCGTCGGGCTACATTGCGGTGAGCCGCGGCCACATTGAAGGCAAGAATATGCTCGCAGTCAACCGTGTCACGGGC